TGGAATAACTTTTGCTATTTTCATTTGTGAGGGAAACACACCAGTTCGAAAGGACAGATTACAAATGTATGCGAAAGTTTGCAGTATATATTCTATAATACTTTTAACTAATATCATGTCAATACCAAAACAATCAGTGGACTTTTTATTTTTAAATGTCTTCACAATGTTAATTATTTCTCTATGAGTTACAGCACCAATAAACATGGAGGACACATTCTGAGTAATATGTTTATTTAAGTCATTATTATTTCTTGACTCTGGAATTTCTTTTGCTAAATTAAAGCCAACATTTACAAAGAAATCATTAAATTCATTTGCAATGTCTTTAGTTTTATCAAGCACAATATCTTTATCTTTTTTAAAATAATCTGGATAATTCTTATTTTTTGAGCCCTTTTTGATTAGACTGTTTAATATCCTCCATGTTTCTTGTGTGTTACTTCTACTTTGCTCCAATAATTTGTGGTAATATTCTTTCTTACTTGTTCTTATAATATTTACTAATCTATTTTTATATAACTTGTACTTTATTTCAGCATCTTTTGTCCTCTGTTTTATGAATCTCTTATATAGATTATTTTTCTTTTTACATGCATCTTCTATCCCCTTTGTGATCCATGGCTTATTTGATCTGTGATGCTTTCTAGTGATTTTCATTAAAGGACAATGTTTTTCATATAGTGAAATTACAGTTGATAAGAATGCATCATATGCACTATTTGAATCTTCATTTGCAAAAACCTCATTCCAATTGTGTTCCTTTAAGTCCACCTGGAGGGCAGCAATGGCTCTTGTTGTTCTATGTCGTATCATATCAAATATTTGATTCTTTTGTTTAGTTTTAATCCCAAAATAATTTTGAAAAATTGCAAAAACAGGAAGATGATCGCTTATATCAGTTATAAGAAGTCCACCTACTATTTCATGGTCAATTTTATTTGTGAATATATTATCTATCAATGTAGCTGTATCAATTGTTATTCTACTTGGTTTTATAATTACAGGGAAAAGGGAGTTACTATACATTGTATTTATGAAATCTGTTGTTTTCTGATGTCCATATGGGTTTAGCAAATCTATATTAAAATCACCACAAATTATTTGCACTTTTTTATCATTTAGGTTGCTAAACATAGCAGCAAGTTTTTCATTGAATATCTCAAGGCATGAACCTGGTGTCCTATAGATGCAACTTATAATTATATTGTTAGCTTTTTCAACATGAATTTCAATAGTGACACATTCCAATATGTTATCTATGGTGCTTGACATGCATTCAATCAGACTACATTTCAAAACTTTATCTACATATAAAGCAACACCACCTCCTTTTTTATTCACCCTGTTCATTGTAAATAATTCGTATCCTTCCAGTCCCATTTCACTAACTTTCTCATTATTGAGCCATGTTTCTGATATTGCAATTATATTAAACTTTTTTTAACTTACTTAAACATTCTGTAATTTTAGAAATTTTTTTATACAGGCTTCTACTATTGAAATGTATGACCGACAATGCATTTGCCATATTAATATTCACATTGAATTGGTCATCTGTATAGTACTCACAAGTATTATTGGTGTTATTGTAGAAGTGGGTATCTGGGTCAATGCTACTTTCAGGGTCATTCATGTTGTGCTCTGCATAGTTAAACGTTTTGAAGTTCGTTTTCTCAGCGTGTGTGGCAAAATAACCACCTTGACAGTCCTTTTCATAATCAAAGTCTTCCTCTTCAATATCTCCGAATGGAAACCTATAATCTGTGTCCAAACTTGTCATTTATGTGTTTTTGTTGTTGTTGTTTCCATTGTTTTTGAGCCATAAGGCCAGAAATACTTTCCATACCCATTGTTCATTATCCAATCGTCACTTTTCCAATAGATTCCATAGCAGATTCCTGATTATTTATATTGCTCTAAGTCTTTGAGTTCTCTTATCATCACAACTTTCGCTTCTTCGGGATTGCCATTTAGTCTTATCATTACTTTGCAGTTCCTCGTCCATGTCGCTTGTATCTTATTTTGTTTTCTCAGGATGCGTGGCTGTCTTGCAATTTCAGCAGTCTTTTTCATTAAATGTTCATTTAAATACACACCAGTCCCTTTTAGCTTCTTACCCTGTTTCAGTAACTCAATCTTTGTTTTGCGACTCACAAACCGAAGAATGATTGCTGGCTTTGTTTTACTGTCTTTTCTGGGGAGCGTGTGGCATGCTGCAATATGATGGCTCTGAATACTTACATTCTTCGTTTGAAGGAATTTTATCACTTGCTGTTCAAGCGTTTGCTGCTCCTCTACCGGGGCATCTTCACCGTCTTTACCTCCGCCAGCTGTTACTCTGGCGTAGGTTCGGTGTTGCGTCTCCAGACCACTTATGATTAAATCATCCATTCTTGTGTATTGTTCAAGGTCCTCGATTCGCCGTTCCAAGTCGTCTATTTTCTTGTCCTTGTCCTTTATGAGGTTTTTTAGTTGTTTTATTTCATCCATTAGGTCATGTAGCATACCTTGTTGTTTAGCCACTTTGCTCAGTTCATCAGACATGAAATTAAGCGATTTCCTAATCTCCTCCAACTCCTCTTCAACTCCTGGGTTTGCTTTTTTAGGTGGCATTTTGAAAATGATGAGATTGGTATTTCCTTGTGATGGCCCGTTGAAGTCACTGTTGATTTATTTGTTGGTGCCTTGCTAGAGGAGCCTGGGCCTGGTGGCTGCTGGAAGATCCTGGGCCTGGTGGCTGCTGCAGGATCCTGGGCCTGGTGGCTGCTGGAGGATCCTGGGCCTGGTGGCTGCTGGAAGAGCCTGGGCCTGTGGCTGCTGGAGGATCCTGGGCCTGGTGGCTGCTGCAGGATCCTGGGCCTGGTGGCTGCTGGAGGATCCTGGGCCTGGTGGCTGCTGGAAGAGCCTGGGCCTGGTGGCTGCTGCAGGATCCTGGGCCTGGTGGCTGCTGGAAGAGCCTGGGCCTGGTGGCTGCTGGAGGATCCTGGGATGGGGAGAACTGTAGATTTTGGCCAGTTAATTGAATAATCTGAAACTCTTGAAAACCAGTTTATTAGAGTAATTACCTCAGAGAGGTTGGTTTGTGTGTTTTGCAGAAAAAGCAACACATCATCCGCATAGAGACTGATTTTATGTTCTATGTTCTTACATTTTATGCCCTTAATTGTTGTAGCCTGTCTAAATGCTGCTGCTAGAGGTTCGATAAAAATTGCAAAAAGTGAAGGGGAGAGTGGGCATCCCTGTCTGGTGCCCCTCAGGAGACAGAAGCTGGAGGATGTCTGGTCATTTGTTCTGATACGAGCTGTTGGGGAATTGTATAATATTCTTATCCAGTTTATAAAAGAGTTTCCGAAACCAAATTTGTGTAAAGTTGCGAATAAAAATTTTCAATTAACTCTGTCAAATGCTTTTTCTGCATCTAGAGATAATATTATGGTTTCGACATTTTTATTGTATGAGTAGTCTATTAAATTAAGTAATCTACGAGTGTTTGTTGAGGAGTGCCGACCTTTTATGAAACCAGTTTGGTCAGGATGAATTAAGAGGGGGGTTATTTTCTCCAGTCTCTTTGAGAGAGCTTTGCAGATTATTTTAAGGTCTACATTTAAAAGAGAAATTGGACGATAGCTTGAGGGATATACAGGGTCTTTGCCTGGTTTTAGCAGGAGACTAATGTTGGCAGAGTTCATATTTGGTGGTAGTCTGCCATTTTCCTCGATTTCCTGCAACATTCTGTGGAATACTGGTGCCAGAATTGTCCAGAATTCTTTGTAGAATTCTGCTGGGAAGCCGTCTGGACCTGGAGCCTTATTATTGGGCATTCTTATCAGGGCTTCCTGGAATTCACTTGGCGTCAGTGGCGAATCCAGTGCCATTGCTTGACTGTCTAGTAATTTTGGGAGAGTTACGTTGTCAAGAAATAGATCAATTTCATTTTTAGATGGGTTTATTTGTGGTGAGTATAAAGTTTCATAGAAATCCCTAAAAATGTTGTTTATTCTTCCAGGATCATATGTTGTGTTCCCCGATAAATCTTTAGCAGCACATATAGTTGTTTTTTCTTTATTTATTTTTAACTGGTTAGCTAGAAATCGACCTGATTTGTTACTGTGTTCAAAATTCTGCAAGCGAAGTCTTTGTATAAGGAATTGTTTTTTTATTAATAGTTTCATTTAATTCTAGTTTTGTCTTGCATATTTTGTTCAATGTTTCCTGATCTTGGTCGCACGCGTAGGCTTCTTCTAGTGATTTGATGGTTTTTTCTAATTCCTGAATATTTTTGTTTTCTTCTTTCTTTTTGTGTGATGAGAAAGAAATTATTTTACCTCTCATCACAGCTTTCCCTGCTTCCCATAGAACAGAAGCAGATATTCCGGGAGTGTCATTAAAGTCTAAATATGAAGTCCATTCCTTTTTAAAATATTTAATAAAGTCTTCATCTTTAAGCAGTGATGTATTAAATCTCCAGTTTTTACTTTGCGTAGTATTATTCTTGTGCATTAGTTTTAAAGATACAGGAGCATGATCGCTGACAGCTATAGGATGAATCTCAGTGTCTGAAATGTCGCTCAGCAGTGAGCTGCTGACCAAAAAATAATCCAGACGAGAGTAAGAGTGATGAACATGCGAGAAAAAAGTATATTCCTTACTGTTGGGGTGAAGGGAGCGCCATGCATCGCGAAGGCCAAAGTCGCTCATATACCGTTTGATTATATTTGTGGATTGCCAATTGCGCTGAGTTCCTGTTGTGTTGAGCCTATGCATTTCTTCATTTAGTCCAAGGTTGAGGTCACCGCCAAGAATGAGTGCGCAATCGAGGTGTTCAGAGAGTGCACTAAAAAATCCGTGGAAGAATGAGGGTTCATCAACATTTGGACCATATATACTTACAATAGTTTTTTGTTCAATATTGATAGTTTAATAATTAGAAATCTGCCCTCTGGATCTATAACTGTATCGAGTACTGTAAAATTAACATTTTTATGTATTAAAATTGCTACTCCCCGTTGTCTAGAATTATAACAGGCTGCAAACACGTTAGGAAACTCAGGTGTTTTAAGTTCGTTTAAACCTGTGACAGGTCTGTGAGTTTCTTGTAATAAAACAACATCTGCCTGTAGTTTTTTAAGCTGGTTAAATATCTTTAACCTCTTTCCTCTGGTGCCAGCTCCATTTACATTCCATGTGACAAACCTCAGAATGCCCATAATTGTGTGTGTATGTCTAATGATGTACGCTGGGTGTTTCGTTTAGACAGGTGGAGAGAGTGTGGAAACATCCCTTGTTTGTAAATAGAAAGAGAGAGAGAAAAAAAAGTGTGGTGAGAGGCTCCATAAGTCTGACTATGTGTGTGAATATTCACTAATATGAACAAGCGTGGCTTGCTTATGTGTCCTGCAAGTCTGTGCGTGCTGTGAGGCTGTTGTAAATGTGCTGCCGTTGAACGGATGTGTTTTCGTGATCGTGGTGTGAAAATATGGAGAAATAGAGGGTGTTGTTTGTAGGTGAGTGGGGAAGTAGGTGATCACAGCAGTGAAAGACAAGAGAAAGAAAGAAACCACATGAACTGTGAGCAACAACAAAAAAAAGAAACGAAACGGAAACATTCCAATTAAAGTAATGACGGAGGGTGACGGTGTTATATCTGCTATGCGATGTACTCTATCGAAGTCGATGTTCTTTACGGTGTCCTCCGGCAGCTTCAGGTGGATGTCATTGTCATTTATGTCAATCCTTACGTTGGGTGAGTGCTGAGTATTTGTATATGTGTGCATGAGGGTGGGAATGCATGTTTGTGTCTGTGTGTGCCTGTTTGTCTGTGTCTATATGTCAGGTCGGGTCTTACACTCCACCTCTCTGGGAACTCCCCTGTCTCCCCACACCACACTCCCTGCTGGTAACAGATGCCCTCAGGGGTCGGTGCGTTGGTGGTTCTTGGTGTCCGGGCCTGGGCACTCAGGTATGTACCAGCTCACTCCCGGTGACTACTTGGCGGGGCCTGGTGCCTGTTGCTCGGTCAGGCCTCTACCGGGGCAAAGGGGGCCCTCGGGCCTCCGGCCACTGGGCCTGCGGCTCGGTTCACTCTGGCACATCTGGCTGCCGGCAGAGCTGGCGGGCACGCCACTGCAGCCCCCTCTGGCTTCTGCTCCGTGGCTACTGGGTGACACCTCATCTGGGGCTCTCCTCTGCTCTTCCCATGAGGGTGGCACTGATGCCCCTCCGGTGGTCCTCCTTGGGTTCTCGCACTCTGGGGCCTCTGGAAGTCTGGAACCTGGATCTCCTCCATGCCTGCTTCATGCCCTGGGGGACGGGGCTATGGCTCTCTACATCCTCTAGCAGACCATTACATGGGGAAACCTTTTGAATACAAGCGCGCTGATCCACACAGGTGTGCACACGGGTGTTCACTGTTCATAGACATAAACTACACCTCTATTGGTGCTATTTCCAAGCACATTGTGCGCTGTCGGTCCTGCTTGCTACACAACAACACTCAATATTTAGTATTTACTGCTGTTTACACTTAGCTAGATTAACGTGATGGTGTTGTGTTTAGTATGTTGCTCTGTTTTTTTTTTGCTTGTTTTCTCTTCTTTTTCTCTCAACAGGTGATCCCGGAGATTTTTTTCCTCTTCTTTCTCTTTTTAAGTGCCCTCTCTCACTGTCCCTCTTCCCTTCTGTTTTTCTTTTCCTTCATCTTTCTTTCTCCCTTTCCTTTCCCTCAGTCATGTCTGTCTGTAACAACTGAAAATAAAATAAAATAAATAATAACAACAAAGATTGATCAAATGGACCAATACGGCAAGGCCGTGATGATCCACTTGGTAAAGTAAATCCATTGGGTATCCTTGTTGGTCTTCAGACAACAATTCTGACGGCTAAAGAACCAAATGGGACAGGAAAAAAAAAAAGGAATGGGGAGGTGCTAATTCATCAAGCCTCTATGCTGCGTGCTCTACCTCCACCTGTTGGCTGAATCTAACCTTTAATAGACTCTGGAATCGTTTATTTTGATAAGTGGATCATAGTTATACTAAATGAGAAAGAGCAGGGCCATCATATGGTTTTTTGGGTGGTTACACTATGGGACTTAACAATTGTGGGATTTGTTCTTCCAAATGCACCCCCCTCCCGCCACCACACACACACACACACACACACACACACACACACACACACACACACACACACACACACACACACACACACACACACACAAGGAAGACCTTAGTTTAAAATATGTTTTATATATAGCACCAAATTGATGGGGTTAAATGCATAACCATGGTACCCATCTGAACTGGCTTGCAACATCCTAAAAGGAAACCCAAACAACCCTCAGAAATAGCACAAATTAGCTTAATCTTTTCTTCATTGTGTGGTGTAGGTGTGAACTAAAAACATTTGGGTTAACAGAGAAATATAACTGTCCTGAGTCGAGATCCAGGAGTCGTGTACTTGGACTAAACATTCCACAGAGGCTAAAGTGTATCAGTGAAAACACAAGGCTCAACCACCAGAGTGTGTCTGGTCTGTTCTTCTTATCATCAGAAGTTGTGACGTGGAGGGTTTCAGTAACACATTACATACACTGGACCTGCAGAAAGAATTAGCTTCCTTTTCTGTGCCTGACCACAGGAGCTGTTAAACTCACACTGAATTGCTGGTTGGACTGATTTAGGAACAATCATTCACTTCTTTTACTGTAAACTTTGAATTCACACAAAATAAAATTGCTGGAGGATGACATGACTTGCCATAGTTATGTTAATATAATACATAAGCACACACATAATCATTTTTTAATAGATTTTATTTTCACCTTTACAGTTTCCCAAATAAGCATGGAAATTATAATATAGACCAATTAGTCTATAAGTAACATTAAAAACTACAAAGAGTGTTAAATGCTTAAAAACTGTTACCTTTTATTGACTACCAGAAGCTTGAACCACATCATCATTACCCCTCAGCTGTAAAACGCTTGTGGGGTATCGCTTTAATTCTATTGTTTATCAGTCTGTACTGTTATGGAGGCTAAACTGAAGCATCGTTGAAGGAAAAAAGCTTCTTATCTCAGTGCTTTCCAACCTCATCACATGATACCAGTGGTTTACCATCTGTTAGCATATGCAGTTTTTGTAAGAGAGATGAGCTGCATTCATTACTGTGCTATCTTGCGGCACTAAGGTACTCTGCGCTGTGTTCAGGGTGTCTCGGTCTCAGGATGTGAAGATCCACTGCACTCTCTCCATTTCCACTAATGTTGAACTGACCTACAAATGATGGTTCAATAGTTGGAGACTGATAATACATGAAGCCAATCAGCTTCAGAGCAGTGTCTCCTTTGGAGCGCTGATACCACAAAATAGTGTTAAAGTTTTGGTTTTTATGTTTGCAGGTCAGCCTGACTTCCTCATTCGGCGGCTTCAGGAGCTGCTCTGGAGTTTGAAGAACCTTTATTTCTTTATCGAGGGACACTCCTGTAGAGAAACAAAGAAAAGTTGACAGGTTGTAAATTGATGGCATTTCTTTTGAAGGATTCTATGCTCACTGAGACAACTGCTAATTATAGGATTAGAATAAAAAGTACACAAAATGTAGTTCAATCTGAGAATATGACGAATTAAAAGAGGGTTTGTTGGCTAATTGATAATTAATAATACGATTAGACATCAGAGAGTTTATAAACCCTATCCCTAACTCTCTCTCTTAACCTCTTTAAATGACCTGTGCTTGTGTGTACATTCCCCTGGACTCCCTATTTAAAATAACAGCTATTAGCAACTTTAATTCCTAATCTTTTAGAACCTGGTCTGTATTGTCCCGTGTCTTGCTGTCTTGTAGACGGACTCAGAGGGAGGGAAATACTGAAAATCAGAACTAATCACTCTAATGTGGCTGACTATCTGGAACATGTCTCTGCTGAAGGCTGACCATGGAAGGGTAAAATAATTGGAAATAACTAGTTCAGATGCTTTGCAGCACTTAATTTTCCAATAAAAGATTAACCCTTTGTGGTCCTCATTGATGACAGAATCAGAGACTTTATTTATCCCCAAGGGGCAATTAAGATACAACAGAGCAGCATGACTTTAAAAATAAGGACAGGGCATAAACAGACAATAAGAGTGAGATAAAAAAAATACTTAAAATATACAGTATGTACACAGTTTTTAAATGACAGTGACTGAATAAGTGAATAAAAAACTATAAGTGACTAACAGTGAATAAAGTGTTGGCAGTATAAAAAAAGAGTGTCAAGTAGTAGGAAATAAGACCGACAGGAAATAATCTCAAGTCGAACCTCTAAACTATCTATTGGACAACAAGTAGAAGAACTCTCTACATAAATAACACAAACTGTTTTTGATATATTTCAGTCACAATGATTTTTGTTACCTGAATGCAAAGACACTGGGGAAAGCACAGCGAGCTATTGTTAGAACTGAGGATTCAGACTTCAGGGTTTAAACTAAAAGTCTGATCATTGAACACTAATAAAAACCATTAACTGAATGCAATTATGAATGCCCAAATTACAAAGTTTTATAGTTTTTATACAAATAGAAAACATGGAAACCACTTCTAAGTCAAAATTCTAAAGGACAGAGAGTCTCTATGAATACCTTTAATGCAGATGATGATGTGTATGAAGAGATGAGACCAGTTCATGTTGAATGTGATAAACCAGCTCGAATCCCAGCTGAACTCAACCGTTTGAAAAGGACTAGAATTCGCTGTATCTTTCTGTCAACTTCTCCAGCGCAGCTCCTCCCACTGTCTGCAAAGGTTTGTGGGCATGTGGTTTGCTGCAGGTGTTCAGGGTCAGATGAAGGTTTTTGTAGAGGACTTTCAGGCTTTTCTGCTGTGGTGGGACTAGAAACTGCACAGAAATAATGCCCGCTGTTTTCAGGGTGCCTGAGTTTGCCCAAGTGCAGGAATGCTTCAACCTCTCCATTTCCACTCACGCTGAATAAGCCCTCATAGGGTTTCTCCACAGTCTGAAT